TCAATCGTGCAGTTGATTCGAACTAATTAGAAATTTCACGACTAGAGATGAAGAAAAGGCCTTTCTTAAAGATAAAAAGTGGCAACCAGCGAGGTTCAAATTCTAAAAGTAGATTAACACCTTTAGACCCACAATATCACTGTCTGCATTGCAATTGGACATGCCCGTCTCTTTCTTATGCTCATATCCCTTTCATAATTTTGAAATCAAATTGTTGCCCATAACAGGCATGCACCCTTCTGCTGCGGGTCTGAGTAAATAGTATCCGAATTATTAATTGGAGGCTCCTTCCGAGAGTCAGCCTCAGGCTAATATTTACTTGTCAGATTTTGAGAGAATCTTAAGTTTAAATGTTCAAAAGAGCTAGAGTCATTAATTCATGGAATCAAGAAGCTGTTTGTATCCGCGTAGATCCGAGCATGAGGGAAAAGTGGAATTTAGATTTTATTAGGCATTGAGTGCGTGTACTTTTGAATCATTAAAATTTAAATTAATAATTTTAATAAACTCACTCATTTATTTATCTTTAAGTTAAGTATGGATTTAAAATTATTAATCTAAATTTTAATGGTTCAAATTGTACAAACACTCAATAACTGTATTAAATATACTCATCAAACCCAACATTAGGAAAAATGAAAATCAAAAGGGATGTAATAATTTATTACATGCTGATGGCAGAATATTGGAGATGGGCTTTTAGTAGGGGCGTTCACGGAACGGGACGGGATCGGGACATCGCTGTCTCATGTCCTGTCCTAAAAAAAAAATCGAGACTGAATTTTGATCCCTTGTCTCGTCCCGTCTCATCCCATTCAGAGTTGGGATGGGATCGAGACAAGATCGAGGCATCTCACTATTCCGATAAATAGAATAATATTAGAGAAAGATCTGAATAATAACATTCATTAAAATTTTAAATCATATAATTTATTAAGTTTAAAATTTATTAAAATTTTAAATCATATAATTTATTAAGTTTAAAATTAAAACAACACAAGTACATAAATTACAACAATTTAAAATTAATTATTGAATTATATTAATCATAATTACACATTATAATAGCAAATACAAGTTATCTTTTTGCTATAAGAGTAACAACAACAGGCAAGTCAAGCACAACATCAAATCATTGTTCTTTTACTTTAGTAGAGATGTACTAAGCTAATTACTCTTCTAAAAATAAAGCAAGAAATATGTTATAAATAAAAGTTATTAAATAGATAGATATAAGAATAAATTATATTAATATATTTAATAAATTATAAAAAAGATATCGTCATGTTTACTCCATATTATTAAAATTATTAATATAAAAAAATTTTGTTTTAAATAAGAATTACAAGTATTGAAATTATAATTAATATAAGTATGAATTATATTAATATAATTAATATATTTAAAATAAAAAATAATATATATAATATTCGAGACAGGATGGGATGTCTCGATGATAATCTCGTATCCCGTCCCGTCTCGAACCTCTTTTTTATCCCGTTCCATAAAGTCTCGTCTCAATTATTTTTGGATCGGGACAAGACCCGTCTTGATATGATCTAAACAATACCAAGCTAATCGAGATGGATCTAAACTGAATACTCTTACCTTTTAGACAAATCTTTCACAGTGACATTTCTCCAAACAAATCACTCGAGTTTCTCCGCTTCAACCAGCCCTCTTCAACATAACTACCGTAAAGATATATTTTTTTCCTTGAATTTTTAATTCTTTTTTATTTAAAATAAATGATAAAAGTAAACAAATTAATGATGGTATTGAATAATCTAGTATAAAAGTTGCCAACTGTTGGAAAACGGAAAACAGCTGGTTGAACGTATATCAGAAACACCTTGAACTTGTTTTGCTCTGAAAATTAACTTTTGCAAATCCAAAATATGGTTCCCCCCAACTCAAGATGACGAGCATATGATGAAAGACTAACACAGTCCATAATGATATGTATTAATTGCTAAGCAAAGAGAAGAAACGAGAGAAAAGAAAAGGCAAGAAAGATTAATACACAAGAACGTGGAACAGAGACAAAACTTAGTACGTTACAAGACGTCAATACTAGAATTTCCATAAAATACTAGAGTGTAAGAGAAGAATATCAGAGGCCTCCTAAAAACTTCGGCCATCAAGCTAGGGTTAGCTTGTTGAAATTCAAATAATTGCTATAAAGAAAAATAACCATTATCGTCTTTATCGATCTCTGCCATTCGACCTTGGATTTCTTTAGGTGAAGTTGCCCTTAAGGCTTTGAGGGCTTCTTCAAACTCTGTCAGCAATATTTTTTTGTCATTATTCATATCAAAACGCTTGAATATACGTTCACATTCTGCACTAATATTCGATGCGTCATCGGCCATTGTAATGTAATTTTGTTATAAGGTTAATTCATAAATTTGATACATCACCAAGCAAGGACTCATACAGTTAACATATTCAGAACAAAGAGGAAGTGCCTCTTGACCTGGTCTTCCCCCTTCATCATCGGATCTCATAGGAAATTTTCATGAACAGGCAATAAAATTCACAACTAGGTCTGTATCTGGTCAATTTTAGATTTTTTTAAATTTAAGAATTGTTTAGTTCAAGGGTTTTGAGAGGGAGGGGAGAGGGTCCCCTTCCCTCGTTTGCTTGACAATTTTTGGAGGGGAGAGGAGCCAAAATGCCCTTTCCCTCTCCTTCTGCTTTAATTACTTTCCTTTAAATTGAGATGTTTTTGGGGGGGAGTTAAAATTTTTGAGTGATTTACACTTTGATGCTTGGTAATATTTCTTAAATACCTTTTATCATGTTTTTTCACATGTCTCGATTTCTTGTCGGCTCACCCAGATTCATCTCTGTGTCGGCACTTACTCCATCATCTCACTGTGATCTTCGAACTCTCAGCATCATGCTTTTCCCGTAAAACATCATCTCTCTGTGTCCTGAACTCATTGCATTTCTTGATTGCCTCGTGAGCAAGTACCTTCAATTGATTGACCCAACTCTACAAGTTGGACTTGGAGCTTGACGCTCCACCATGATGACTTTAATAATTGGGTATCAAATGAGCACCTGGGGGAGGTTTTCTTTCTTTCTTTTTTCCCAAGACCAGGAAAGAAGCTTTTTAATTGAATGAATTTTATTTTACAAATGTTAAATTATATAATTAGCTTATAATTAAATTTGAGGAAGTTTAATGGGTTTTTAGGAAAAAATAGTTTTATAATTAAATTTTACTTTATATAAGGAACAAATTTTAAAAAAATAAGATAATATATAAGGACATAATAGTAAAATATTTATTAAATTCCTTTCTCTCCCCTCCTAAATCAAATAAGATATCATTAAAATTCTCACCCCTCTCCTTGAACCAAATACACCTTTAGGTGTAATCAACTAGAGGAAATTGGGGGGGAGGGGAGATGCCTCCTTTCTCTTATTTTGATTTGAAAAATTTAGAGGAGAGGTAAAATATTTCCTTCCCTCTTTTCAGTGTCTTTTAAATTGAAGTTTTTGTAAAGGAGAGTTAAATTTTTTAACTAATTTGTCTTTATCCAATTTTTTTGTGTTTCATATATGCCTATAGTAAAAAAAAAAAAAATCTCCTTGTTCAAGCATGAAATTTCTCTTGCCATTCCCTTCTCATTCATAGCCCTCATAATTTTTTTTCTTTTCATTTTTCTTTTCAATATATCTCTTATATTTTTTTCAATATTTCTATTACTTCTAATTTTTTTGAATGTCTAATGTTAGAACAATAAAATATAATATGTGAAAAATAATGATAAATATTTTGAATGAAAAATATAAATAACTATAAAATTTGCAGTGCATGGTTGAACAACGAACTCCGTCCTCCTCCATTACATATAAATATATGAAGTAATCTATTTAAAAAGAAATAAATTGTGTTTTCTATAACATGAGACTCATATTTCATATAATGAAGTTTTATTGCATAGTTGCGTGTACAGATCAATATAATTAATTAATATGATAAAATTAAATAATTAAAAATTAACATATAAAGGATACAATAATAAATTAGTTATTACTTTTACTTCCGTCTTCCTCTCAAACAAAATAAAAAGTCATTAAAAACCCTTTCCTTCCTTTCGTACTAACAAAACCAAATTAAACTAAAATTAAAACCCTCCTTTTCCTTCTTCTCTTCTTGAGTCAAACATACTTTAAAGCAATCCCTTATTATTGTAATTTTATTATTTATTTAATTATGTGGCAATTGTAAAATTATAATTTTTTTTTCAATTTTTAAAATTTTAGCTGTATCATTGAGTTTGCCCAATTTCTTCTCCATAATATTTCCATCTACCGTTTAACATTTTCACCTCAATTTCAGATTATAGGAACAAAATATTACATCTTCTAAAAATAAATAAATAAATAAAATATTACTTATCATATTATTGTATATTTATTAATCTTTTTAAAGAAGTGCATATAATTTTGCAAGAATGAACTCTATTTATTATAATTATTTCTAATCTCCCTAATAAATAAATTGATTCTAGTGAAAAATTATTACTTCTGATTTCCATTATTATTGCCTTTATATCTGAAAACACTAAGTAAATGTTTGGTTTTTCTGGCAAAAATTAATTGATCAAAAGTTCATTTAATAAAAATTAATTGTTATAATAAAATTGTGTTTGAATATTTTTTAAATATATATTCAAATCATGTTAGAAAATGCTTTTCAAAAGCACGTTTCCTCACTTATTTGATAACCAAATAATATTTTCCATTTCATATGTTAGGAAATGTTTTCCAGATATAAAATATGACTTACCCAAACATACACTAATTTGATTATAATTTCAAGATATTAATCACAAATATATTGTTTAAAAGTTTATAGTTTTACTAGTAGTAGTTGAGTCGGGGGTGGTGGAAATTGATCCATTTTAATCTTAAGTGAGATCAAGAGTTAGAAACCTGGTTTTACTAAAACAAAGACAAATCGATTGATTGACGGCCCAAAAAATGAGAGTGGGTCCGAAAGGAAAAACTTGGTGATCCAAAGCCTGTGCCTGCTTGCCATGGCTTCCCTTCCCGCTTCTTCAAGCTTTGCTTCCCCGAACTCAGCTTTGTCTGCACCCTCTGCAGATGAGCGTCTTCGCTTCGTTGAGTTCCTCATCCACTCTGCTCAAGTAAACCATTCTCTGCCCCCCACCTTTCTCCCTTTTCTGTGCGATTTGTTTCAAATTTTTATTCTCCGTGTAGCAACTGGAAGTCGCTCCCATTGTTAAATACTCGGCATTGTCATTGCTTGTTGATCGTTTCTTTCTTTCTTTGCCCAGGTGATCTTCCTCTTCCTGTTTCTCACAATTTTAATCACCGATTGGATTCTTTAATTTTCACTCCGTATAGCTATTCCATTTGCTCCATGATTTTGTTGCATTATACTTGGCGATTCTGAAGTTTCATGGAAGCTGGTAGCTCGAGAAGCTGGCTCTTGCATCCCGTGACAGAGAGCAATTTGCAGCTATTTGGGCTGATTTCTTTATGGATTTCAAGCAAAGTGGGTTTTTACGCATTTCATGGATTTTTTTGCCTTCGTAACTAATTTGCTGTAAACTTAAAATTCTTTTTATGACACTAAATAGAGCTACGCAGATACATGATTCTTATCCACTCTCTGTGAGATGTTTGAAGTGCTTGGCTAACAATATCATCAAGGATCAACACTTTGCAACTCGAGATTTCCTCGAAGCAGTAAGTTCCTTTTCCCCCCCTTTTAACTATGAGACTGTTGACTATGAATCATCTACATTCTTGGTGGTTGATAACTGATATTGATATCTGCAGGAGGTTCTCTTCATGCAGGTAAAAACTGAGAAGCCTGCTGGGTATTTTGTTCTCAATTGGTTGGCTAATACGATTTGGTACTTCCAAAGGTGTTGAATTTTGAGATTGGCACAACAAATATTGCTTTTTTGTTCCTTGAAGAGCTTTGGATGCAGATCCAGTGAGTCGTATTTACAAGATAGAAATTATATACACACATCAGTTTTTTTATTCCGTTTACTAATTCTCTTCTTTTGGAGTGAAGAAGAGTGGCCAAAGTTGGTGATCTTATCAACTTTGAAGCATGCATAGAAATTATGGATCTTCTCTATGAAAAGGAGGAGACATCATTTCTTTACAAGTCTCCTTGCTCTCTCGCGGCATCAATCTTGGTATTATCTTCGTTGGTTATTTCCTAATTCCAGTTATTTATAATAACGAAAGCTATTTGTTTTTGGCAAGTTATTCTCTCTTTCTTTTCTTTTTTTGGCAGGTTGCGTCTTATTTGATCACTGTTCCAAAACAGAAATCGGAATTTCCACTTCTTCCATGGGGTAAGAAAGGTTTGCTCGGATTTCATTGGCTGATTTTGATCTAATAGATATTATTTTAAGTAATTATCATTTAATATTTACGAACCCTCACCAGTCTCACCTACAGAGGTTACTTTTAAGTTTTTACACATTTGTGTTGTATCCATATGTTATTCTTAATGAAAATTGAGAAAAGTTCTATTTTCCGGATGTGAAGTTTCCTATTGGGTAATGGTTGTCTATTACATTGATTTTTACACACAGGTTTTCAATTTCTCTCCTTTCTAATGATACAAGATGCCTACAGTTTACAGTATCAGCTACCAGCTTACCCACTTTCAGAATTGTTGCTGCAATTTGTGTGTCCTGTTTCTTACAATGATTTTGTCATTACATTCATGAATCTAACAATCCATGTCCTCATCTTCTGACGGTTGAATCCGTAGTAAAATAAAATTAGATTGTTCATTTCTTCTTTGTTTTTTTAACTTAATTTATGGACTTCACGTGGTGAAATTGAATATAGGCAAACTCCAGATACCTGGAAACTAACGGAAGTATTTTGTTGTCAGTGAAATTTGTAACTTCATGTAGAGAAGAGGAGATCATAAAAATTGTGAGGGACATTCTCAAGCATGTACTCCATCCTTCCTCTGATCTCCAAGGTTAGTGAACCTAAAGATTGAATCATTTTGGATGTCTTGAATACATGCGAATACGTATTGAGAACAGGTTTCATTTTGATTGTCCTTTGCTGTTTTTGTTTTCGTTTTTGGTTGAAAGGCGATGGGTCACAACTCACAGTCGTGAGGCCTACTTATTAATCCCTGATCACACAAACACATTGTAAGCCCTAAACATTCTTGGGGCAGACTTCTGCAACTGAGTTTGACGAAGAAGCTAATAAAGCTTGTATAACAACTAGCGTGTTTGTGAATTCTCAGTATTATTTGTAAACAGTGGTATTAACTATGTATTTACCTTATCTTAACTCAGATGCTTCAACATATTTCATTCACCAAATAACATCTGAAATTCTACCAGTTCAACACTGAGACAATCTTTTATAACTTAAAACAGTTCATAGAGTTATTGAACGGTCCTGCATATCTTTTGGAAAAAGAAAGCTACTTTGATGGTAAGTGTTATAGAAAGTTGAAAACACTGGGCAGAGAGCTCTCAACAGTCAACATATTGATTTGTCTTGCAATCATTTTCCATAGCGTGGGCATGATTACAGTACACAAACCCGATCTGGCACAGTATGAGGCACACGAACAAAAGAAGAGAGTGAACCAATTTTTTTTTTTTCAAAAGGGGTTTTTTGGCGGGCCAACAAGAGAATGACAATTTCTTAAGCTTCAATCTTGAATTACTTTTTATTGTTCCTGCAGGGTGTCTGAAATTTGCAAACCGCTAGTCTTGATCAAAACATGGTTCTAACCAAAATCCTTTTAGTTAGTAACAGTAACCTTTGTCGATAAACATGTGCCATTGACAATTATTTTGTTTAAGACTAGGAGTCTCGAAGGATATGTTGCTCCTTAATTATTATTGTTTTAATGTTAAAAAAGAAGTGTGGTCAATGGCTAAATTAAATGCACAGCCATCTATGCTGACTATTTTGCCCCTTTACTCTGAACGGTGTGGTCCATCACAGGCACTGTTGATCACACTGATCCTTTGAAATTGAGTGCCGAGTTCGCTCACTGTGTCCAATCCAAAACCCCCTGTCGCTTTGTAGTAGTAGACTCGTCCCTGTCGGTGGCCTGTCTATTGCTCTCACCACAAGACAAAAACCTTTCTTTTCTCGTTCAGGCCCCATCCATCCTTCCTTCTTGTTCCCATTGCCACTTTCGTTTGAGCTGTCAATGACCATGAACCCATTCATCAATACAATGCCAAGGTGATTACAAATTCTAATTCGAACTCCGTATCCCTTTAGTTAATTGACTTTCATTTTCAATATAGTATATTTATACTAGTAAGGGTTGAGAGCGACCTGTAGACCCCAAATACAGACGTATACCTTTACTTGTGAGGCTAATTTTATTATAAGCCACTGATACTCATAATTTTTTACATGAAGACGCCCCATTTCACAGATGTTATGGTTGTCGAGTCATGCTGACGGGAATGCGCATCTACTTTTTAAATTTGCTTTTGCGTACCAAAAGGTGGTTGAATCAATATATCTCATTAACATTTCTCTTAATTCAAGTATTAACATTGTTGTTATGAAAGCTAATTAGCACACCCAAAGCCCAAAAAAACAAGTCACGATACTGTACAATATTGTATAGGTAGCATCAACATGTGTGGCAGACCCAACTCCTAATTAACAATTGGTTTCTCTTTTTTCCCTCGCTAGCGTCAAGTCAAAAATTAGCGGTGTTCTTTTGTTGCCTGCAGTTTTTTAGGGGGTGTTTCGCTCGAAGAAATTGAAGATAAGTTTTTCCCCTGTTGAACTGAAGACGATATATGTATAAAAATAACTATTAACTTAATAAATCTGTTATAATCATTGAATAATAATTATTCTTTTATCATTATTATTTATTTATTAACGCGCACATAATATTTTCCAACTTTACAATTATTTTATTCCCTTTTTTATGTCCTCCATTCTGTCAGCTGTGGCCAAAATGGTGCCCGGCAAATAATTCAACGTACAAAAAAGTGGAGCACGTAAAAAGATCTTTCTCGTAAGTTTCGGCCTTAAAACTTGCTGCGGCGGAAAAATTTGAGGAGCTGATGGTCTGATCCAATTCAACTGTGCTGGCCACTCAGACGAGGGGAGAAACTCGCATGGGATAGTAAGGAACACATGCTACTATACTAATAATAGTGATTTAACTTGAACATGACTGGCTCCCGTGAACAATGTGAACACAGGAAGGCGGGTGTAATGGTGGAGTAATGAGTAATATAATGATCTGATAGTCATAGAAGAGAGCATGTAGTAATCACGAATCATTAATGAGGTGGAAAGAGAGGGCCAATGAGGTCCACTCATAACTTCCTCTTTTGCCGTCTCTAGATCTGCGTGCTTATCAATGCCTAACAGATTCTCTCTTCCGTCCCTTCCTCCTTTGCGCCTTCAAGAACCTGATTTTCTTGCAAGAGCAAAAATTCTGATATATCTGTGCCCTGGCAATGGCTGCCCAACAACATGTGGCCTTCTTTACATAGGATTCCTAACATTTCGTAACTGACTTGTCAAAGCTTTCACTTGTCCAACAGTTTGGCCATGCTGCCCCACATCGCTGTCACTAATAATAGAACCCAATTTGATCCTAAACGGCATCCTCCTCCTGCATTCTTTGTCTTGCCGTTTCATCATTTTCATCTCTTGCAAACAGCAGCTTCACCCACCACTTCACCCCTTTCCAACCTCAATCTCTCTCTGATTTGTTTTCAATTAATATATATTTCAATTATGTACATGACTCTTTTTTATTTTTTCAATTATTATTAGTATACTCTCCCGATCCTAATTGCAAGAGTTAGTCAACTAGCTAATTCCCACGTGCTACCAAAGTTAGGCATGTTATTTATTATTATTTATAAAATCTCGTACTGTTTTTTCTTAAATACTCATCATTTTAACGTCGACATAACTCATACATCATTAGGAATTTAATTACAGCGGTACTTTAAGAAAATAAATGAATATATGAGACAAAAGGAGATTGGGATGTATATCATATTTATGAGCAAAAACAATTTTGAATTTACTGAAATATACACTACATTGAATAATATATAAGCCGAACTATGGAGGCATACACGTGTGTTAGAGGAAAAGGATTCATCAGATGGACCCATTCGGTATTTCATGCACTGAGGGCAGAGAGTACTTTTCTGACTGCTTGTGATACGTGGCTCCTACCACACGACGTGCCATGTGTATACACTTCACAGTAATGTTTTCAGAATCGGACCGGACATTGAACCGGAAAAGTCAGCGGTTCACGGTTCGCATGGTTCAACCCGTTGGACCATTGGTCCAACCGGTGATGTAATAATTAAATTAAAAAAAATTATATATGTATATAATAATTTAAATATAAGAAATACATATAAAATTACTATTTAACTTAAAAAACTTAAATATTTTAAGTTTATCACGACTTAACAAGCTATATGATACACTATAATATCAAATGATTAAAAAATTAGTCATTTTTTTAAAAAAATTTGATAAAAAATAAAAAAAGTTTTTTTTTGAACAGTCCGGTTTTTGAAAACCGGATCCGGTTCCCGGTCCGACCGCCGGTTCCCGGTCCAACCACCGGTTCGAAACGGCTCAACCCGACTCAACTCTAAAAACGGTTTTTTTCTTTGAACCAAACCGGAAACCAGACCGGTCGACGGTCCAACCAGCCGGTCCGGTCCGGTTTTGAAAACAGTGCTTCACACACACACTAGTTGAAGAGATATGCCCTTTTTAATAATATATCCGCGAGCAAGTACCATATCATATTAGCCATTTAACATGATGAATCTGTCCTTTTCTTTGTTTGATATCAGTAGCATCATTTTCTTGCTTGTAGCATGTTCTGGTAAATAGCAACACAAAATGGGTTTGGGCGTTCCAAATTGGTGTATATATATCCACTCGAAACATTTTGCAGGAAAATCATGTGACATTGTCGCGCTGACAAGTAACAAAGAATGCTCCGTTTGGATAACTAGGCAGGACACATCAAACTGTATATGAGCTTATACCACTCAAAAGACTGTACTATTAACGGACAACCAGCAAGCAAAACTATACAATATCTCCGAAACAATTGTTGCAGCTCATCATTTTAATTTTAGCTCAGCACTTGCCATAGCTGGGCTTTGAGTTGCTTAGTTCCAATCTGGATGGCCTTTATATATTTATCTCAGCGTAAATGGTCTATAGAATCGACGCCAGAACCATACTTGAACATCCTAGTTTTATAATATCCACCGTTAGTTATGAAATTGTTCGTAAAATACAAACTCGTATATATTGATCAGGGTATGAGTTGGAACACATGTCATCATCAAGTTTATCTTGTATATGATGTTGTAATATTTTCATAAATTATATTGTTCTCCAATAATCCTCTTAATTAACAACTTTTGTTGTCAGAATCTCCCAACAGTCTGGCAGTATATGCGTGCTAGACTGTCAATGCTTGGACGTTTTCGGGGGAATGGAAATATAGTGAAGCAATATTTGTTTTTTTTTTTTTTTCCTTATACTCTTCTCCTTAAGTTTTAAAATCTTGTCTAAGCTTTCTCTCTAGCTTCACACCTACGATGAATTTGCAAAAGGGGAATAGATTCCCTTGAAGAAATTTTTCATGAAGAATCTTTGTTCAATTCCTATTGTCCCCTCCTTGTTTATATACAAACATTTGTGTTCCGGTTGAAAACCTCGTGAAAGCATATTTTGTTTTACCTTATAATTAATTCATAGTTGAAGGACAATGATCCACCGTGAGAGACATTCGTATGCAATTAATAAATGCACTTTCTGGGAGGTTGTTTGACCCAACTGATCGATCAGTGATGTCACCTCTCTGACCTTGCAACTGCTAGCATGCATAACTATTTCTGAACATTTAAAGTAATCTCAACAAACACCCAAATTGCAAGGGGTTAACTAAGCGGTTTATTAATTCTGATCGAGTGAATTGCATGAAGCTGTTGGCATGTCTAAATTCTACGCCCCTTTATTAGAGGCCCCCCGGGGGGGGGGGTTGGTTTCAACCCGGTTAATTTTGAGCAATTGATAAACGCTAATGAAGTCAAATATATATATCATGGCAAACTGAGATTAATTATGATAGTTTAAACAAGCGAAGAAAGAATTTAGGTAAAAAAGTCAACAAATTGATAACTTCTTTTTAGTTTACAAAGTAAACAGTTGATTAACTGGAATCTATAATTAGGTTACAATTATATCATCTGATGTCCGGAAAAAAAAAAAATAAAGTGGGCATAATATTCATTTGTGAGAATTCTACAGTAAAAATTAAAATTTTGGAAGATATGGACTCTTACCATTTACGAAGCCGTACGTGTTCATGTGAAATATATAAACCTTTTAGACGTATCATGAAACAAAAATTTTAGCGACCACGTTTGTTAAAAAATTATTGTTAAAAGTTTTCAGCGATAACTTATGTTATAAAACATTAATACAAAAACTCTTATCACTAATAGTTTTTGCTTTGGCAAATATAATCACCGCCAAAGTATGCTTTTGTAGTGCCAAAAGATTTCCTCCCAAAAAAACAAATCATCTAATATCATGTCACTCTACCATATTCGAGCCTCATCATGACACATCACCTTGTGTGCCATGATATATGACACCTCATGCCATGTCACCTCCACCATGTGCGTGCTTTCCCATGCCACATCATGCATCATATTGTCACATCTCTTGCCATGTCATATGCACATTGTTATTGCATGCCACGTCACATATTCATTACAAAATATGTTAAAATTAAGATTTGAGCTTTTGACCTTAACTTCTCAAACCTTAAGTTATTTTTCTTTTTCAACTAAATTGAAAATATATATATATAGTTATTATATATAAAATTAAATATACGTTACTTAATTATATACATATATATCAAATAATATATTATTAAAAAATATACATATATTTTATTTTATTTTTAAAAATTATTTAAATGATAAATAATTTATATGACTCTATATATTAATTTTTTAAAAAAATATTATTTTTTAGAAAATGAACTTAAAATGAAGCAAATTTTAATTATTAAATAATTTTCTTATAAACGTTTTAACCAATTTTTAATTTTATTTTTATTTTTTAAATGAAAATAATCAAGTATATAATTTATTTATAAATATGTATTATATTAATTTATGTTAAGTATCTTTTACACTTGTCTTCTACATTTTTTTTCAAAAATCAATAAATAAATGATTAAAATTTTTCTTCTCTTAAGTTAAATGCTTTCCCTTCTTTTTTTAATAATAACTTTTAGAAAAAAAATAATTATAAGGATCTAATTAACATATACTTATTCTCATCCTCATAGCAACAAGGTAAATTGGAATAATTTTTTTTATTCTTTATAACAATGAAAACCTAAATACTAGGTAGAATTATATGACATCCTTGTCAAAAAATTATTAGAGTTTCACTGAAAGAAGTAGATATCATATATATACCAAGCTAAGTTTTAAGTGCTCAATGTGTCAAATAATCTACAATGACATCTACATCTCGCGACATCTACACAACTTTTTTTTATTTGTATGTAAATAAATATTTATGTGTAACTTAATGTGATTATAACTAAAAGTAATCATTTATCAATATTTTAATTATATCATATTAAAATACTAGCTTAATAAGATTATTCTTACAAAAAATGAGCTATTTATGTCGGAAAAAGATTATGTATAATACAAAATTTAAAATAATTTAATAATTAAATTTAAAATAAGAAATTTAATTTCATTTATTGATCCTATATATCATTTATTTCTCATTCTATATATAAAATAAGAAATTTAATTTCATAAATATCTTTTGAATGATTTTACTTAATTTTAAATTTTTAAAATAATTCATAAGAAAAATTTTAATAGTAATTTTATAAATTGTTTCATATATTTAAAATTATATTTATTTTTTTAAAAATATTTTTAGCAGCAACATAGTAATTATATAAATTATTTTTTATGAAAATATTTTTAGTGGCAACATTTTATTGCTACTAAAAGTTATTTTTGGTGACAACTATTAAAAGTCACTATCAAAAAGCTCACTTTTGATAATAACAAATGTCTACTTTTGATGATGATTTTTAATTGTTTTTGTCAAAAAAATTTTATTGACTCTTACGTTACT